TATTGAATCATATATAATCCACTAAAGTTACTAAAAGCCATATTTAGATCATACCTAACTGCTGCACTTGTATATTTGTATTGGGCTTCTTTCTTTTTGAAAGAATACGAACAAGAAGAGCAGGTAATTTAACAAATTGCGGAGTAATGGTACGTAGAACTACTATAAGACCACCTAATGATCCGATGAGTACTGCTAGTATCTGAAGAATACCACTATGTTTAGTTATTGTGTAAGTACATGAAGCTGGTGAGCAAGCAGCATAGTAACCTGAAAAATTTGTTATATTTTGCCATTCTTCGATCATCAGTTCATCTATAAGAATAACAGTAGGAGTGGTGGAAATAAAACGTGATTTCATGGAACTGTTTAACGGCTTTGGCCAAGAAGTAGCTGGTAAAGTTGAAATCCATTGTGCTGTGGTATTAAGACATACAGAATCAAAGAAACATTCCAGTGTGTTCGTTTTCATGGCATCATCCGGTAAACAGCCGACATGCATTCCAGGCACAATAAAAACGGGTGGTGGTTTTGGAGTCATCATTTCTTTGAGTGGTCGTGGTTCAAGAGCCCAGTCATATATTCCAGCTTTGTAAGTCACTGCGTAGTACGAGTTACACACAGAGAAGTCGTTCTGATAGTTCTAAATGCAAAAACATTCATAATCAGGGTTGCCAGATCTTCTGAAATGGCAGGAAAGCTTCTGAATTTCAAAACTTTTTCTGATTTTATTCTGACCTTCTGATTTTTCTGATTTTTCAGGTTTTTTTCGATTTTTCTGGTTTCACTGTTTCGCTGCGATATTTGTCCAAATTCTATTTCTGAATGAAGACTTTTCTCAAATTGATTACGATCATAATCGTTAGCCATATGAAACATGTATGGTCTGATTATCGTAAGTGCATGGACATAAAACTAGTTAGTGCTGAACTTAAGATAAGAATGAATGCTAATTATTCTTGTGAACAGTTCTAAAAACATATTTCAACTGATAAACATTTATTGCAGCAAATTCGAAAAATGAAAAATATCAATAGTATGGAACTCATATTGAATGAGTCGTTTTTTTAAATATCTCTTGATGTATATAGTGTATTTCTCGGTTTGTTTTTGCTCATTTTATGTGAAAAAAGTTTTGAGTTTAGTAAAAAGTCTGATACTAGATATCTTTTGCTAGTTTATGTGATATTCGGTGAACTACATATTCTTATTATTATTGTTTTTTTATGTTAAATATCTTCGAAAATAAATGAAGAGTAGATGAACAAATTACAACTAAAGCATTTTGTAATAGGTTGGTAAAATAATAAGTGCCAATTTCAACATATTAGCCTTTCTGATTATTTTCTGATTTTCGAAAAAAAATTCTGAATATTTTCTGATTTTGATAGTCGGAATTTCTGATTTTTAAATTTTTGATCTGGCAACCCTGTTCATAATACAATATCCTAATCATAAAGAATTTTCGTGTCATATATACATATATATTTCAAAAGGACAATGTCTATTTCTTTTGAACACAGATATTTATTATTTTTCATATGAATCAAAAAGCTCATCGACAAGAAAAGCACATAGAATTATCTTTTGATTTCGTTTAAGTTAAAGAATACTGCAAACCTAGAGAATCTTGTAAGACTTCAAAGTAAAAATTTGGCAATAACTTATTGCTTAGAATCTACCTAACTACCTCTCAGTCATTGTTCTTCGAGAGTGTGGGCGTGGGTGTGGTTGTGGGTGAGTATGAGGCTAACTCTCCACTTAATATACATCCATACTCACACCCACACCCTACTAATGATGTTAGAAGCATTCATTTCCAAGGCTTCATCTAAACAGAGCTCTTAAAACAAGTTATGGAAATACTTTATTCAAGTTTTCTAGTGCAAAATATTTTATTTGAGCAAATCTCATCGCAAAATTATACATTGCTAAGCAAAAGTTTAAGTGTTTTTGTAGATGGAATTTACGCTGCTTCTTTTTTATAGATACTTTAAAGGTATTACAAGCAAACGAGGTACAATCTAGTTTAATCTCATAGAATCGAATTCAAAATTACCAAAACCTACTACTTTTATTGACTTTTTTTAGGTCAATGGGATTTCTATCGACTCTCGTTTTTGCGCATGTTTCTTTATTTATGTCTAAGAAAAATAAAACAGTTCAAAGTTGCAAAGATACTATTGTCATCTATTTATATCCATCGTTTCATTTTTTCCGAAAATGTTGACGATCTGAGTTGAATTAATAAAACTCTGAAAGAGAGCTTTCTTGTCATGTGCTACTAGATTTTTCATAAAGGTTTTCAGTAATACTTAACTGATGGAGTAATTTTGACACCACAGTATACCTATATTAGTTTTTTCAGCATTCATTTAACTACAAAAAACTAGTGAAAGTAGTGGTTTAATCATATTCGTTGTTTAATATATGTTTTGAAATAAAACCTTTGATGATACTGAATCAATGATTATCATGTAAATATCAAACGCATTCTTTTAGATGAGTCTCTTTTGAAATGTGTTCATGGTCAGAGATTTTATCTTAAGCAATTAAATGATCATCCACCATTACAAAACTAGCTATCGACCATGATGTGTAAAACTAGGCTGTTTGTATAAACGAGCAAAAACCGATGCAGCCTACGCGACAGCTTTTTTTTCTTGAACGAATGATCCCAAAACTTTAACATTTCATTCAGAAATACATAAAGAAACACTTAATATCATATAAATAGAAGCGCTACGGCATGATATCTTTGTATTGTTGATACTCCATGTATTCCTATGGTTTTGTATTTCTTGTAGCTTTCCTAACTCTGGAAGCGTATAGTCTAATGTATGATTGTTTTTCTTCAATAACTCATATCTTTTTATAATTTCTCCGTATACTATTATTAGCGAGCATTATGCAGATAGAAACTGAATATGATTGGTAGATAAACTGCTAAATGAATAGAAAATTTTTTTGAAAATTCTATTCGCTGTTGCTGTTCAAGATTTGAAAAATAATAAGGATCAATTATGGATTTGTATTACTTTATAGATAGGCCAGTCATATTATTTTTGTAATAACCGACGAGATACTCAATGAGCGTAAATTATCATCAAAAAACTGTTATATTGTGTTAGTGTAAGAAACTTAAGTTTTCATTGAATATTATACAGTTTCGTTGAAAAGATTATCTGTTTGATTCAAATTTTCTAATAGAAATACGTCTTAGTTGAACCCATTTGAGATTGGAATGTGAAACTTACATATATTCTTTAGTCTGTGAAACGATGGAAAACTAGAGGAATATAAGCAAAATACTTCGACTGAAAACTTACGCTTATTATTTTCTTCGAAAAGATATTTTGTATAAAGACTTACACTACTGTAGACGGCATTGTCATGTTTCGGATAAAAGTTAGTGATAGCTTCAAATTTGTTGGAGCCTGGTATACTTGTTAGAAATGAATTTGTGTGAACAGCTGAGTTAGAACCATCTTGAGAGATGATGAAATGCACGAATTGAGTGCCACGAAGCGGTGTTATTTGTTCTTGCATCATAGCCTTAAATTTGTCGATAAGAGCATTAGCTTGATTGTGAAGAGATATTGGTGGAAGAATTCGTGTATTCACAAGCTGTTCTTGACCATATATTTTATTAAGATTATTTATGGACATTGATGATATCGAGCAAGCCGCTGCAAATAGTCGAAATTGTGCTGCTGCGGTAACGCGAAAGTCCAGTGGAGTCATACGCGCCACTTTTGGGTTGAACAATGATGTGATCCATTTAGACGATATCAGTTCACTGGAGCATATCTTTAGAAGTAAAATATCGATCTCATACATACATAACATATTCACGAAATAAACTGTCTCTCACATGATTGAAAAGAAGTTAAATAGTCTCTATTTGGTTGTTAATTCTCAAATTCATAGAAGATATCTTCGAAAAAAAAGAAACTAGAGACTCACATATTATGGCTGTTTCAGTAAAAAGCAAGAACATTTATTTTCAATAATGAACATTACCAGAAAGTATTGAATAGAGCTTGGAAGCATGGTGAACTGCAGCTCAAACTGAAAGTTACAAAATTCACTTGTACATCCTTTATTTCGATGATCATTCATCAAAAAGTAGAGTGCATCATTCGTTTGATTCTCTTTCCTAAGCGTTCTCTAGGTTTGTTTGACTTAAATGAGTTATTCAGTGATATTTAACATGTTTGTGGTACAGTTAAGACATTTAGACTATTGACTATAGTTCTCGAAATGCATGGTACTTCCTTGCAGCTTAGATATGCTCCGTATTAACTCAAGGACGTTTATGTACTTTGCCGAAAAAGGCAGTATCAAAAGCATTTTTTAGTCATGGCGAGCGCTACAAAGGTGTGGATAAGGGCGGAATGAATTCATCTCGTCATGCTCAACGATTCTGTGCAAGAATTAAAGGGATCGTAACTGTCTGTGATATTTTCGAGGCTTTCTATGAAACCTCTTTCGGCCAAGAGGTATACAACCTCTATTCTATTGTTGAATTTGGAATTTTCTTTGAGATTCATACCTGATGATAAATTGGTTTGATTGAAAAGAAACTGCCGTACCATATAGCAATGTTTTGACATGTACATGATAGTGTATCAGAGTATTTCACTAGCAGATGCTTATAGGCGTCTAATGAAGGTCTTTGTATTGTGACAGACACATTTATTGGTGTTGAAGAGACAAAGATTACCAAGATGAATGAACTCACGATTAGAAGTAAAACATAAAGACGAGTACTACGTCTTTGATCACGTAATACTTGTTCGTTTATTTCATTCGCTGCTGTAACATCATAAAATAAGTTAAAGCTTCGTAAACGCTGAATTGCAGGTCCGGCAATTGCCATTTGATGAATAAACAGTTTAGGAAAGGCAATTAGTGGAATCTTTACTTTACAGCGAGATTGATAATGAAACCTTGTTTTAAAGTAATGCTTTCACAAAGAACCAATCCAACTTATTTGAACAACTAAAAATAAGAAAATAAAAACACTAGTTTGATCCTTATTAGTAGAAATCGAACAGAAAAAGCCTATTTTTTTTCATAGAACTCTTTGGCTTCTACAATCATGAATTGTTCACGAATTTTACTTCGTAAACATTGTTCAACATCGTTCTACATTGATATCAGCATCACTGTACAAAATTAAACTAATTTTTGTGATCAAAACATTCAATTTTAGATGCTAAAAGTATTACATAACAATCACATAGTTCTTGGAATAGTATGAAATATCAATAGTTTATTTCTTTCACTATTTTGACAGAATTCTATGGTATATTTTTTGTTCATATTCATTTTTGATCCTGTATAGCAGTTATCTAATATTATAATTACATTTGTCTCAGAATAAGTTTTATTATAAAATCCAAATTCTTTAACTAATTTCTTACAACGATGCATGTCACTTAGATTTGAATAAAGCGATAAATTAACAGAATTAATCAATAATAATGCTATCGGTATTCTTCTAATAGTTGATCAAACGTTCATTACTTTGTTGTCTAG